TCTTTACAGAACAACAGAGACACTGTGGTACATGAAAATGATCCAAGCCCGGGAGAATCCGCGTTGAAGAACAGAGCATTTAGCTCCTCTGTCAGAATGAATGGGAACCAGAATTCGGATGTTTATAACCAAGAAAAGCAGAATTTCATCCAGCACTTCTCCCAAATCATCAAGGTGCTGACTGAGGATGAGCTGGGACACCCAGAGACAGGGGATGCTATTACCCGGCTCAAGGAGGTCCTGGAGTACAATGCTGTAGGAGGCAAGTACAACCGGGGTATGACCGTGGTACAAGCCTTCCAGGAGCTGGTGGAGCCGAGGAAACAGGATGCTGAGAGTCTTCAGCGGGCCCTGACTGTGGGCTGGTGTGTAGAACTGCTCCAGGCTTTCTTACTTGTGGCAGATGACATCATGGACTCTTCTCTCACTCGCCGGGGGCAGATCTGCTGGTATCAGAAGCCAGGCATAGGCTTGGATGCCATCAACGATGCTTTGCTTCTGGAAGCCTCCATCTTCCGCCTGCTGAAGTTCTACTGCAGGGAGCAACCCTACTACCTGAACCTGCTGGAGCTCTTTCTGCAGAGTTCCTATCAGACCGAGATTGGGCAGACTCTAGACCTCATCACAGCACCCCAGGGCCATGTGGATCTTGGTAGATACACTGAAAAGAGGTACAAATCTATTGTCAAGTACAAGACAGCGTTCTACTCTTTCTACCTGCCTGTTGCGGCTGCCATGTACATGGCAGGCATTGACGGAGAGAAGGAACATGCCAGTGCCCAGAAGATCCTGCTGGAGATGGGCGAGTTCTTTCAGATCCAGGATGACTACCTCGATCTCTTTGGAGACCCCAGTGTGACTGGAAAGGTCGGCACTGACATCCAGGACAACAAATGCAGCTGGCTGGTGGTTCAGTGTCTGCTACGAGCCACTCCTCAACAGCGCCAGATCTTAGAGGAGAATTATGGGCAGAAGGATCCAGAAAAAGTGGCGCGGGTGAAA